AGAGAAGAAAAGTTCAAAGCGTCTTTGGAACGCCAAACGCGTAATAGTGTATAGAAAGCTGGTGGATCTACTATACCACCACGTACTATGCGACCAGTATTGATCTGAGAAGAAAAAGAATGACAGAAGAAGTTATGAATCCATGATAAGGTGAATAAACCATTTGCAAAATTTTATAGTAACTAGCTGAAAAACTCACTCTACTTAACTCAGGACCACGGTCAGTTTGAACGATTAATCGCAAACTAAGAATACCAAGTTCACTTGCGTTGGCATTCCAATGTCCACTATCCATAATGTATCCTCGTTTACGATCTTTATCAAATGCATTTTGTACCTATTCCAACCAATCACGCATTGTATCTAGCCACACCTTTCGTCCAGATAACATAACGCCTGAAACACCGGTTAAACAGTCATACATCCAACGTAGACGGCGCTGTTGCATTGGAAAGTCTATCCTCGTCCGACAGTAGCCAAGCTTACGCGGGATCGGGCAGAAGTTCCACCGGAAGCTGTTGAAGTTGTATATTGTGCTAGTGACTGACTGGATACCGGCCGAGAACCAGGCAGATCAGAACCACGAGCAATAATATGAAAATTACTCAAACCAAAGGCTTGACCCGCCGTTTTTATAAATCCATATTCAATGGTATCTGAAGGTGTTAAACTGGACCAATCCAAACCTAAGCGTAGTTTAAAAGTTGCACAAAGCACAGCTGCACAAAATAATCCAAGACCTAATAAGCATATACACAGTTGTATACTCTAATGACTAGTAATGAAAAAAGCAAAGTGTCTAGTGAACCGTATAAGCAATGAAGAAGAGATAGTTGTTCTGGACTCTGAATAAGATTCGGATTTATTTACGCATTTCTGTAGACTTCCTTGCTCTGGTATTGAAGTAACTTCCTGACAAGTAGGGCAGTTTTTTCCACACTAAAGAAATAAGATTGAATCAATAGTGATATTACTTCAGATAAAACGATAACGATTTACATTTAAAAATACGCTTGAATCAATAGTAAAATCACTGTAATTATCAATAAACCCCTTTAACTAAGTGAACAGATATCTACACAGCTATAAGGATACTTAATTCACTGGGTAAAGAACTCAACTTTCAGCTAGTTAGTTGCGACTGCACTAAATGTACTTTCGCTCAAGGAGCGGGTAGAAGAATCATTAGACTTCACTATAAACAATATAGCTCCAACTCAAGTACATAAATGTTTATTTTTAAACGAGTTAATGATTCAACTATTAAAACGGAAGTAGATTGGGAAGTGTTTTGAAATTTTGATACCAGGATTGAAAGTACCACGTTGCTTTTTCCACCTGGTCACTACACTACTTAAGTTAAACATTAAAAATGTAGTAAAACTAATTTCCATAATAAAAATAACTAATAACAGTGAGTAAAAAGAGCAACTGAAATGTATATGCTTCAACTTTAACATCCAACTTTTTTATCGTTTGGACGCCTAAATAGAAGTAAATAATTTGTTATTACAAAGTAACCTCTGTTGAATTTAATGTTACATCCTATGGATAAATAGATTATGCACGAAATCAATATATTGGACAAATTAAACAATAGTTTACTATAGAATGCTTATTTTTTTATATAAAAAAAGAAAGGAGAGGATTGTGAACTTTCATCTATACACACTCAAGTCAAAACAGACAAGAAAAAACACGTTAAAAATGCAAAGTAGAGAGAAATCTAGCTAGTTAATCTGCTTATACAACTGTTATTGTATATTTATATATCAATATATATTTGTTATAATTACAGCCTTACTGTCCAACAATGCTTTCCCCTTCTTCACTACATGAAATACAGAAAGCTGATCGATAGAGAACAAAAAAAACAACTAAAAACAGAAAGTTTTCGAGAAAAAATTGATACTTTTTGTCATAACCAATCAAAATATTTTGTGACATTTGTTTTGTGTATTTGTGATTGGACAGGTTAGACATTCTGGTTCTTAAAATTGTAAACACATTTATGCATACATACATATGTGCATTTTTATGGTGAAAACTTATTTTTGGCTAATGTACATAATAGTAACTGATTGTTTTGTTACACAGTGATATTTACTTATTGATACACAAGCACACTAGCAGGTAGGTTGAAATTTGATGAGAAGAAAATCATCGACACTACCATCAACACCTACATATATACCTACCTACATCAGCGTTTAACGGAAAAAGAGGAATAGAGAACAGAGAAAAAAGAAGGTAGGTTTCAATGCTGTGTACAAGCACAGTCCTTTTTTAAAAAAGAATAAGGGAACTGATAAAAAAACTGTGGATATTTCAATAGTTACACCAGATTGAATATAGTTCAAATGTGAATATTTTCCACAACAAAAAATACCAAATCAAATTAACAGTATTTTGAAGATATACTAAGTAAGCTAATTTTCTAGAAATCAAACCAGAGCTAAAAATTGAACATGCTTTCAGTTTATAAACTTTAAAAAAATATAGACTGAAGACTGAGACTATGACGTATGATTGGTATGAAAAGCCAGATACGCTTCAATAATTTTATGCCAATAAAATAATCATACACTGTTCCTCTATCGAAATATTAAAACTAATCGGAATTTACTAGTTAATCAACATGACAAAGCATTATATCTTTAAATAAGAAAGATTAGTTTAATGTCTTAATGGGTGTATTCCGTTCATTATATCTTTCTCGAAATATCCAATTATGGCCACTTCATTCTATTACTTAAACCTCCATAATTTGACTTTTTGAAGTACAGTCCATAGGAATTTCATACTAATAGTACTCAGTCAATAATATTGATTAAGGTGGCAAGCCATACGCTGGCCTATAATCGACTATTCAAAACGTTCGGGTAACTCAATAGTATAGAATGAGCGAGATCAGTGCGAGATTTGAAGGTTTTGATTTCGATCTTTAGGGGAGATTTCGCGAGCGCATTGTTGAGCAGCTCTATTATAAAACGTAACACCTGTTCAATATTTTGTAGTTTTCGACAGTTTTTAGATATCATTCTGTGATGGAAATTATCTCCAAACAGAAGAACCTTTCCACTCTAAACTGCTCACTACTAACTAGTTTCGTAAAGAATTCCCAAAGTTTCGGTAGGAACCCGAGACCGATAGAGTTCAACAACGTTAGATCTGAGACTAATAACATCAATAGTAATGCATGATTGATCAAAGAATAAACTGAATTATAAACTTGTTTGAGTCTCGCAGATTTTGACAATACTGTCTTCTTGTTTCAATGAAAACATGTTACATAATGGATTTCATTTTAAGAGGTGGTCGCCAACTGCTACTGTTCGTACTTTACAATCTTTCATATCATATATCACTCACATAAAGAATATTTATCTGATAAGTATTGTAGGTAGATGTATACTTTGAAAATTAACTCAAGGACGAAGATGTCAATAGAATCATAAATTAAATAACAATTATATATATATATATATATATATATATATACTTGCGTTACTAAACAGATAATACACTGCATAATGTATCTAGAATGATTTACACCTAAAAAGTAGTTAACCGACAGTACCATTATTATTTGTTATTCATTACAAAATAACTAAAAATATAATTGTAACATGTAAAGATATCTAGATAAAATGCAGTTTTACTATAGAAACTAACCTCCAAAACTGATACATTTTCAGTTCCACTAGACTCTGAAATATTATTAGTAGTATTTGTTTCTTTATCTTGATTCCCAGTTAGAGTAACTGTAGTATGAACAGTATTAGCATTAGAATTAGCTGTTGTCTTGACAACTGCTTTAGTAACTTCATTATTAAAATTGGAAGAAGACGATGAACGTTTTGATCTAGGAAGATGATTAACTACATTGACTTGTATAGTTGGATGTGAAAAACTAGAACTGATACATGTCTCTGGTAAATTAATAGAAATATCACGACTACCCCCTGTTAATTTTTTTGAGTTTATATAACGACAATGTCGACAATGATAGTGATGATTATGATTATGATGATGATGGTGATGGTGGTGGTGATGATGATGACGATGACAACGACTAGGAATTAAATTTTTACTACCAGAATAGTAATTAAATGGTCGTAAATGACATGATTCACATTGACAAAAAGTGGTTAATTTGGGGGGATTTGACATCATCGTTGTTTCTAGTTGCGGTTGACGTAAACAACACAACACATCTAAACGCTTTTGATTACGACGAGTGGCATCAAGTTGTAATAGAACAGGGAAGAGCATAAATACATTGATCGATTGTACAACAATAAGAATACCAGCCTGTGATAACAAAGGATAAGATAAATTCCGTAATAAATCAACTAGAAATCATGAAAACTAAAGGAACAGAATTTTTTTCAAAAATGAATGTACACAACAAGTAAAATCAATTGCATTTTTATGCCAAGTCATTATGTTAATCATAAGTTGTTCCTTTGTCAGCTAAATTAACAGAGTGTCATCTAGAGTTTTGATAGCAGCCAAAGGATGATGAGGAAACCTTAAAGTACCATGCTTTAATGTAGAAGAGGAATTAGGGTCATAGAAGTTTGAGAGGTTGGGTGTATTGTTTTTGCGCGCAAAGTTCAGGTTTGAGCAAGGTGGGTCGCCAACGTCTTAGCAGTGCATAAGCTTTAGATTCAACAGCCCTTTTGACTCCATTCTTTCCACTGTGTAGGTCAGTTTGAAGGACGATTTTCTTGGATAAACGTAACCAGAGTTTATGGGTTGCTCTTGTATTGATTGTTTTGTAACCCCATCTTGAAACCTATACCGAGTAGTGTTCTGAGATGTGTTTATAAAGTATTTGTGCAGCCAATGTAACGTCATCCAAAACAGCAACTAAACCTAAAGATCCACATCCATGTAGCCGAAATTGGAAGTTTATCCATAACAAATTCATGAATGGTAAAGCGGCTTGAGAAGACGATACAAAGTTTTACTAAGGGATTTCGGAACACGGTTATTTAAGATTTCTGCAAATGTATCTCTTTTAGATTCAATATTCATAAAAAAGGTTTTATTTTGAACTGCTGGTGAGCTTCCAGGTTGTAGCTTTGATGTTAAGTTTTATCGATGAATCAAAGTGTATAGCCATTCTGATGAGTATTTGTTGAAGATGAAGTAATACATCATCTTTTGTATTATTAGAGAATATTCACCTAGCCCTCGAAGATAAAGAGTGAATTAGGTCTTTTTTCTACCCAAAGAGACCCAGATATGACAATTCTTGTGCTGACTACTTTAAACCAATTTTCTGTAAAAAAAAAACCATTTGACTTTCTTCGTAACAGAAGATCAGTTCACTAATTCAAGTCTGAACTTTACGTTCAAAAACAATACATTCAACCTCTCATCCACCTATGACTCTAATTCCTCTTCTACATTAAAACAAGGTACTTTAAACTTTCCTCATCATCCATTGACTGGTATTAAAACTCTAAATGATATTCTGTTAATTTAGCTGACAAATGAATAACTTAAGAGAGTACTAAATCAATATGTACTTGTTATTATTTATCATTATATTTAATTTAAATGTTAGGAAATATACTAGGCAACAATACCTATATTAGTAAGAAACTGATTACGATCCAGGACGCTAAACAATATTCACTTTTATTTTGACTTATTTCACTATTCTTGTTCTTGTCATATTAGAAAAAGATTATTAATTTCATTTGATAATTAATAAATTGTACCGTGAATAAAAACCGACTGATGAAATTGTGAGAAATTTCCAAGTTAAACAAACTCATATCTTCAATATCAAAAACAAAAAAATCAGTTCTATACAGCAAAATATTTGTCTAGCATTCGGCAACACAGTGGCAAGTTACATAAACAATAAATTTTTTTTGATTAATTATATACTATAACTAGAACAAATGAAAAACTGATTATTGAATAATAAATGTATGTATACTTTCTTCTGCATAAATTCTAACAATATGATAAAGACATGGAATCAAAAATCAACATTGAAAAACGTATACAACTCTTGTGGTTACTATGACAAGAGAAAAAAAAACTAGAAATGAGAAGAGAAAAGTGAAAATTTCCCACCCAAGTTAAAATGACACATATACATGAATGTTTCTAAAATTTACATTGATTTTCTTCAGAGATTATATGTTACAGTAAACCAAACAATATAGTTGTATACTTTGGTTCTTAACAATAGGAGTATCTTTGATTTGACACCATTATGAAAGATATTTACTTATGCATAGTGATATTTATTTAACAGATTTTAAATCGCATTAAAATAAGTGTGTTTTATACATTCTATTAGCTAAAAACAAAACGAAACTTTAATGAAATTCATTGTGCAAAAATTACGTCTTATAACTGTTACGTAATATTATAATACTTATGATTTTGAAAAAAATATCAACATATCTATCGAAAACATTAAAAAATAATAATAAGTGATTATAGAATACTAAGTATTTATAGTGTATTCAATTCAAGTGTTACTTATAGTATACAATGTAATATCAGATTACAATTAACGAGTATTTTAACACGGATACAAAATTAGTATTTGGAAGTTGTTGATTTTTTTTATTTGTTAAAATAATTTCAATGTGACCATCGAATTTGTACTAAATAAATATCAAGTTAAGATAAAATGTACAATAAAGTTGGACAGGAACATTTACAATTTACAGAAAATTTGAAATTTCTTTCCTGGTGATTATCTACCCTTATGTAAGTATGTATATATATGAATGTTTGAAACTTTACAATAGACCACCAATATCGAATGTACTCTTTTTCGACCTACAACTAAATTTACAGACATAATTAAACAGATAAAGAGGATTTTCTTATTTGTCCATTTGTATAGAATTATATGCGTGTGTGTATATATATATAAATCAGCTTATGTGGTAGGTGATAATGTGCAGTAAATTAGTCGCCACTTTAGACGACAATCTAACAAATGCTTTTAGGGATTCTTTTTAAATGAACCTAAGAGATAAGAGGAGGAAAGAACATAGAAGAGATAAAAGTATTTGTTATAATACACATTAAAAAACTGATCAGAGATGAACAACTTGAAGGGTGGTCTTTACATTCGGAAGATAAATTTATAAAAAGGATTATTTTTATAAAATGACTAAAACTAAAAGATATAGAATGTGTAGTCATGTATCAGTGTCAACTAATGTACAGATTAGGTGTCTTTCTATCCAATCCTAATATTTAAGTCATATATATATATATATATATATATATATATATATATATATATAGAGAGAGAGAGAGAGAGAGAGGAATAATAGACAATAGTGATTTACAAATCGGATTTAAAATGTTACTAGGTGGTCCAGATGAGATTTTCTGCTATGGTCAAAGTAAAACGTGCTAGTTACAGACAGGCGGACAGAGACAAAAATATTGCTGATGATCTGTTTACTAAAAAATACCATGTTTGTATCTATACTACTTTTAATGTGAAAACACATCCATTCAATGGAAAATGTTTTAATGCTATTATACATATATATGAATATATATACATAATACACAAAGCAAATAACAGAAAATTACTTATATATAAGTACGGTGAAAAAAATCACCATAGAGAAATTCGTTTAATAGTGTTTGTCATATCTTTTTACCTGTAAACAGAATTGGCGAATTAACGGGACGGGGATAAATGCAGCAGAAAAGAAAGCACCAGCTAAAGATATTGTACCAAAAAGTAGACTGGGACCATGTACAGATAATACGTGGACAGGATTGGATGATTTCGACGAGCATGAAGATAAGGAGAATGCTGACGACGAAGTGCTCTAAAATTCAAAGAAAATGCAAAGGAAAATCTAGTGGACAATAATGATACATGTGTAAAACAACATTACAAATACACCTAGTTGTATGATACATACAAAGAAAATTTATTTATTCAAATAGTCTGTTCTTTGTATTGATATTCGTCACGGATGGCTCTCAGTTGGAGCCCTATCGAAAACCAGGAAGCACTGGACAGCTGTTTTCGCCAGTATGGAATTCCACCGAGAATCAAACTCATGGTTCTTAGATCTCGGCGAACACAACCTTTAAAACCACTGGGTCAGTTTTGAATGGTACAACTACAATTAGTTCACAATACAGTGAAATGACAATTCAATATCACTGACGATGACTGCCTCATCAAGCAAAATCAATATGTGATAAATATCTCCTACAAATAAAAAGTCATGTCCACGAAACTCATTTCTTGAAAATCCGCCATTTATGTTTTTAACGATGTCGTTCTTCCCTACAGTAACTTCAACCAATTTTTCTAAGATGAAAACTGAAGGTTCAGTTATTTTTATTTTAAGAATATGCTAACAATATTCAACATTAAAATCTAACCTAAATTGATTGTTTTATTGAAAAAAAAATATGAATCGACTGACTATAATTACATATACAGAGATACATACTTTGGCAGGTATTCCTGGCTAAAATTAACAGGAAGATTACTTTTATGTTATACTATTTATTAATTGGTTTTATTATGATTAACCAGAATATTATGTAGCCGTCTGCTCTGAATCATTTCAAAATATTCCATACAGTGTAATGAAATACATAAATTTTATTTATCCCAGAAACGAAAAACAGAAAAGGCGTAACAAAAAAGGGATTCACATCACTAACCAAATCCGAAGGAGGCGATGAATTTGTCAACAAAACAACACGTCGAGCGATACAGCATTCATGACAAGTGGTCAAAACAAATATACTGTCTACACCCAGACCAAGGAGAAGAAAAGGTAATACCTGTAAATATATATATAAGACATGAAGGAAAATGAAACACTTTATTTATTGATAGTTTTGAATAAATTGAAGGATTAAAAATGATTTCAAAGTAGGCAGCTCTGTGTATCAGAGAATTTCACAGCAAGCAAAGAGTTTAGATAAACCGTTCAACACATGAAAATTATTCTCCCAAATGGATAATCATAGGAGGGGGGACATTAATTGTCCTAATATATAAAAAGAATCGAGTACACAATCTAAAATTTGCTAAACATTAACCGTTTACCTGACAAAATTTTAGCACGAGTTACTAGGCTTCTATTGTCTTAATGGGAAGTCTAGCAAATGACAAAAAAACACTTATTACTATAGTATTACAAGTTAAATGTAAAAAATGGATAAGAGATAGTTAGTGGTCGTTATTCAAGTAAAAATGCATTGGTTATCAAGTTGACAGATTAATTTACCCCAAGTTGGTGTGATAGAGAAAATTTATGATTAGTTTAGATAGGGAACTGACAGTCTAGATATTGAACGACCGAAATTCGTGTTAAAGCTAGCTGGACAAGATACACAGTATTACGCCATAACATGATCAGTTTTGATATTTTTCAACCTATTTCTGTAGTCATGTGAGTTGAGCTCACAATTTAGCACATATATAATTAAATGATCAGGATATTTTAAGTTTTCATCTTGAAATAATAGTCGAGGGTTTGAAACAGTTGAATAACAGTGTTGTATTATCAATAATTCACCGTAAAACACACATAAGTGATCATTTTAATAATTCTACCTGAATGGTTAATACATTGAAAGGAATACCAACAGCTGCACATATTCCCAATCCAGCCACTGAAGACAACGCTATAAGCATCAGTCCGCATAATGCCAACCAACACTGTGAACGAACAGGATCTCGCCAACCAAGAAGACAGACAACGCCATAAAGAACCTATATTGAAGTGAAGACAGAAAACAATTTATATAATTAAAACCAGAAAAGAAAATTTATCTTTGCAATATACAAGGGAAGTAGAAATCTATGATATCCTCATAAGGGGTAGGAATGAACATGTCAAAAAAATCAATTCCAATAATTGCACAGCTTATTTAGCATTACTGACCGATAGACAGATTTATAGAAAGGTGTATTGTGACAAGAAAAATTTAACGTAATATATTCAGCACAGAATTCTCCCACGTCATTGAAACATGAAGTGTTGAATAATGAATGAGTATTATTATTAGGTTTTACAAGTGAATGATTATAATTCTTATTTTTGTTTTAGCTAGTAAATGACTTTACTATTCATGTACATACGAGTTAGACAGAGAAGTCAAGATGATTTTTTTGAAAGTAACGTAAAAAGAAAATGTAATAAAGATTTCAAACAACTATAACGATAACCGGATATATATATATATATATATATATATATATATATATATATAGATGGAGAGAGAGAGAGAGAGGTGTCCTTGTTTTGTCTTGCTTAAACTGAAACATGTACTTTAACTAATAGATGTATGCTTATTTAGATGATGAATGATCAAGAGGTTGATTGATATGTTGACGTATGCATCAACACATACGGTAAATTGAAATAATGTGGTCTTAGTTTTACAGTAGGGTTGGAAACAGACCAATGTATACTGTTTGTAGTGAAAAAATTTATTTATTCTCAGTTTACATATGTTCCTCTAAGTTTTCTACTGTTGGTTAGTTATCATCAACGTACAACCTGTTAAAGATATGCGTTGGCCCAATTTACCATAACACATTAACACGACAAGATGAACATAAATTAGTTGAAATAATGAGGTATCAATGATGAAGAGAAAGACTGAAGATTGAAAACGAGGTTTGAAATAGCAGAATGAAAAGGTATGTACGAAAGAATACTAAAGTTCAAGATCTATAGTAAGATAAAGATTAAATGCATCTGTACAATAATGATCGGTTCTCAGCCACGTCACTCGATGTCTTCAACCACTACTGATAGCAATTATAACACCAGGTAGTCGGTATTTATCAAAACGACTCGAAGCAACAGTCCATGTATATGGAGAATAGTCAGATTATAATCATTAGCTTATTGCTAAGACCATACAAAAGTACAAAATAAATCGAATTAGTAAAGATGAAATAATCATCATTAATAAATTGATATATATATATTCATGCAAGTGTCATAATCGCCCTCTACACTATAACCATATCTTGTATTTTATATAGAGAATAAAAATATACAAAAATGCATGATTTCTCCAAATCAAAGCAAAATAGATTCTAGTAAAACTGTTTTCTTTAATTTATGCATTAGAAAATGGGAGAAAAAAAGCAATTCATTGATTGTCCTAATTACACACCAACATACAACAAAATGCTATGTATGATGGATAATAACAAAAAAGGTTGCTATTTAGTTTGCTTACACCAATACCTACATGTATATCATATACATGATTATAAATGATGGTAATAATGATGATAGAGATGATAATGACGATGAAAATGATGATGACTATTACACAGAAATGTGAAAAATGTACAACACACTTTATTCATTAACCATACAATGTCATGATGACTGTGCATAGTAGATGCATTTTTACAAAGAAAAACAATTATGTACTTAAGTAATAAAAGTTTTTTTGAAAAAAGTGGGTGGGAGTGTAGAAAAGCTGGTAAAGTGAATAAATGGCAGTATGTTTTTAATATAAAATAAATCCTTTTAATCTATTTACTTTCTTTTATATGAATAACTTAGGGCTTTAAAACGTTTCTCTGTTAAAAATGACAGCAGTTGATAAACGTGAACAGTACCAAGGTAAACGGTTGTTTTATTCAAGAATTTCTTAGAGTGAATTCATTTTCAATATTAATAACTGATTAGTAAGAAATCTTTAGCTTAAAATTGCTTACTCAGTTGAAAATATAAAAATTAATATAAGAATTTACGGCGTATGTCTTAATTTGACACAGTAAATTACCATCAATGTTCTTATATATATATATATATATATATATATATATATATATATATATTACAAACAAATAACCTTCAAGGTGTGAAAACACTGTCCATATCATTAACAAATAGTGGCCATAAGAATGAACAAAAATATATCCTCATTTTACGAGACTCCAAGTGAACATTAGCTTCAGGATGCAGGTACATCCAGATGATGAGTCCTAAACAGAATGAGACGTGAGTCCAGGATTCCATTGCTACCTACCATCCATCTGTGCTTAAAAATGCTTGCGAATTAGAGCCAATATCAAAGCGGTTCGTAGAGAAAGCACATATGCCGAAAGAGGCCGATAGATTCCAGACATTAGCATTAATGGGAAGATTCAAACAATCGGTGCATATAAATTTAGGTGAATAGCTTTAGATCTATTTATAATCTAGATTAATAGAACAATAGCAAATACTTACCACTAACAAAAGACAGCCAATCAATGTGAGAGGTCCTAGACGGAGTGTAATCTCTTGTAAGAGGTCATGTAATGAAGCGCTAGTAAATGCGAAAAATCGCCATCCAACATTAGGTTGTAAACCAGTGTTGTGTTCTATTATCAACTACAATAAACAATGAATGAAAATTGTGTTGGTTAATAAACAGAAATTTAGAATTAACAAATCAAGTATAACGAGTTAATTTCTAGTGGGGGAAAAATCAAATAACTTACACGTCTTAGATTCCGTCTCCATTCACGTAAAACATGTCTAGCATCATCCAATGTCCAATCTTCATGTTTGTAAGGATCATTTCGTCTAACTGCCTCATATAAATCTCTTGGAGATCTCAACAAGATAAGTGATTGAAGTGAATTAGCTTTTATTAGATAAGAAAGATTTTTTGAACCCTGACTGGTTTTATTGAATTTAACTGACGAAGATAAAAGAAAGTGATCAGAAGATTTTGAAGATCTAGTTTTATTTTGATTTAAATCAAATGAAACTTTTTGGTGATTTGTATGTAAAGGTATATCAAAACTATTATTAGTATGAATTCGACCACCAACTATTATTTCCTCTGGCCAATGAAGCATTTTGGAAGCGAATCCTGGACAACCACCACTAAGTATCTTGGAGATATATGGAGCCTGTACAAAATTTCAGAATGAAATCGAAGAAATATTTATACTCGCTATTATATCAAAAATTGAAAATATTAGAGGGAAACAACAGAAATATCCTATTCGGATAAAAATAGAATGTGTATCATGTAGATTTTAGATGTAACAAGAGCTATCAGCCAACACTTAAGTCAGAATTTTCAACAGCAATATCAAGAAAGTTTTATTGTAAGGAGCTGAAACTTGACGAATCACCATAATCATCATCGCCGAAAATTGCAGGTATTTATAAACAGTTGTCCACATAAAATACTGCAGATCGATTGGTCAAACAAAATCAGCAACAATTGACGGTAGCAGAGAACAAACCAGCTCCCAGATTAGAAGGAAATCAGAAAGTAAATGGGAAACACATTGAAGAAATCATTAAGCTGCACCATAAGTCAAGTCCTAAGTTAGAATCCAGGAGGAAAAGTGAGAAAGACACATCACTCCGGAGATTGTAGGCAGACATCAAAAGCATGAATGGCAGTCGATAACAACTGGAAAGAACAGGCCAGGGCAGAGTTGGTTGGAGATTCCTAGTCAATGGCTTATACCTCAAGAGAGGTAAAAGACTTAAATTAGTAAGCAAGATTTAATATAATAGATTGTTTGTCTGTGAAACTGTTTATTTTTAGATTAAATAACTGATAAATATTTGTTTGATACTGATATGATTGGTACGGGAAGTAGCTAACTCAGTTATGATCATGTTTTTTTTAATTACAAGGTACTAAGAATCCAAAAAGAATTACATACACAGATCAAAACAAAAAGCTGAACCAGAATTATGTTACTTTTGTAACTAACATCAATTAACAAAACTAATTACACAACCTATTATTCGACAGATGATTCAAATCTAGGATATCAAATACGGTACAGTTTATTATTATAAACATCAATCAAAAATAATCTGGATAAGGCTAGTAGCATTTCTGGCATTATTACATAAATCGAACAGCTAAAAAGTTTGGTTTTAGATACCTTTCTTATAAACCTGAAAATGTAATCAAATTAATAACAGTTGAATAGTTGCTTGTCTATACACACCCACCTTTCCTCTATAATTAGGGGCTGATACTGGACAAGCTGGATCTAATGGATCTAAACAAGAACGATTCAAATAGCCATGATTAATACCAGAATCATAAAATAGATTAATTAGATTTTTAATTTCAGTTTGTGAATAATTTCCATAGCGTTTAGAAAGGTCTTGAAGTAATCCAACAGGATCAATATTTGTCCATTGAAGTAGAGTGCGTTCATCAAACCTGATAACAACAACAAAAAGGACAAAAAATCGAGCAAACAAGCATTAGCATGTGATCAAATTAGGTTAATAACAGTTTTACTAGTTGCTTTTACATTAAATATGAGGTATTAACTGGAACATAACGCATAAGTAATACGACAGAATTTATTGTATGATAAACTATAAAACTATTATTCCGTTATTAACCAAGGAAACATTTTAGAAATTATATAATTTTCCTAATTTAAATCACAAGGTTAAGCGTTCACGCACAAGTCCAAAAGTTTAGGGTTCAATCACCCATGGTGGGGTGGTCATCGATGGGCACTGTTAAGAAGTTCCGTGCTAGAATGAAACAATTACAGTGTTTCCCGATTTTCAGTGATAGTCTAGTTAAGAGCAGTTTGTGATTTAAACAATAAAATATTATGTGAAGATATTGATAAAAAGTATTACATACTCGAAGCCTATAACAAACACATTCAGAACTTTAACAGCATTTATATCATTGATTGTCTTTTCATTCAGACACACACAAATCCTTTATCAAATAGGAATGAAGATATAGAGTGTTTTATTGAGTTATTTATGAAATTAACGAACATGAATTGCAAACTACTATGTTTGATTTGATTGAAAGGTTGTGAGACATAATCATTAGGACAGAGAACTTGAACTGTTCATTTCCGCAAATTTTATTAGTCTTAACTATAGGCCATAAAGTTACGTTTTTTTGTTGTAAATCATTGAAATGTTGATATAGTAAGATTGCTAATATGAGTGGTTTAGATAGGAAATAATAAAGTCTATGATAATCAATAATCGTAGATCATAGTAGAGTAATTACGACAGCTCTATACAATACATATCCACTAAACTATAATTTAATTACACTCTATGAACTAAAACTCTACATCCAGTAATAAGATAAAACGTTTAATAGTTTAATATGTGTATACATGATAAATGGATAGAATGAACGATTGAATAACCGCAGACTTATATTTTCTACCTTCAATAATAAAGTGTCATGATTTATTGTTCATCATTACACGCTACACGTAAGGAGATAACAAGATCATTATATGACATATATATATAGGTGAAACGAGCACCTATGAATGTATATATAGGTCACTATAAATATTTTATATTTACAATTTTAAAAAACAAAAATATGAATAAAGAAAAATTAGCAAATGATTGTACTTCATGAGTAAATTGAATACAGTACAATATGAAGAGAGGAGAAAAATAATCTTTCATAATATAACCATCTGGTTTGTTATACGATAACAAACCAGATGGTTATTATACAATTTTATTTATTATCTATAATATTAGCTATAAACCTTAAGAATTAAATAAATGAGTACGTATTTATTTTCATGTAAATATACAATATAGAATATAATATAAATTCAAAGTTCAATTTACAGTGTATATCTTTCATCAGTTTGGAAAAATTTTAATTTGAACAGAGTGAATTACTTCGATACTACTTATTTAAAGGGTCTATAGTAACAATTGTGAATTGATCACAATGGTATTAAGTATTATACACTTTAGATATATAAGAGAATTTTGATTGAATTTCTGAAAATATGATAAGTATATAATGTTGATGAACATCATAATAAGGAGAAACATCACTAAAAAGCTACTCAATCACCAAAAACTGGTTAGAGATAAAATTGATTTGTGATGAAAAGGATTTTTCCTGTCAACAAGGAACGACAATCATGTCAGTCAAAATTGGGACATCATCGAAATTAAGTCAGGAATACAAAAACGATGACAATATAACGATACTTACCAAGGGACCCACATTGCTTCCTCAGGACCAAGAACTTTTGCACCTTCCCAAAAACAATCCAATGGTGTGATAATAATGCACGGTATAATCATATCCAGATAAGCCTAATAAATAATGAAGTACAATTTAATAATATGTATATATATATGACTAAAATAGTTCTTTGTATTGTATTGCTCCTACGGAAACAAATAACTCACAAAAAGCGATCTGCCAAACACTAAACCTAATCAGAAGCTAAATATTCAGGGTTAAAGTAAGTTCAACTTTGCTGTTGAATAATTGACTAAATTACCATGAATATCTGTCATACTTTAGACCATACTATTATACACTATCGTACAACACAAGGACGTTAGGATAGATTTTGATAAGTTTTTATATTTTTCTGAAAGCAGCCATTCATTTAAACAGGTCAATACTCCGCAGTAAAAAGCTAAAATATTCAGAAAACTAATCATTTCGGTTTTTAGCAATGTTGGATTTTGACTAGCACCGAAATCCAGGATGCATGTTCCATCCCACCTGAGACTCACCAGCTGGATTTACCTGCATCCCAGCCTTATTGTTTATACTGGGACCCTAACTCTATCAAATGTAATCCTCAATATCAACAACAGAAAGTCTCAAACAGTTGCATATACGGGTAAACCAATGTAAAATAATAATAATGAAAGATGTAAATGTTTGAGTAACTAAAACTACGATGGTTGGAAGAGTATCAAACTATACGTATCATAAATTTATTTATGTCCACAAATCTTACACTTTGAACAAATAATTAAATACGCATAATCCTCGAAGATTGTTCAAAGGGTAACCTAATTAAACACCCCTACTTTCATATACTATGCACCGACTACATAAGGGTTAGTGGTACTACTCATTTTCTTAGGTTAAGTGAGACTGAGTTTAAGAACATATGTAGAAGAAACAAGTCAAAGAACAATACTACTTGGCACGATTTTATTTCTTGGTAAGAATAAATTGTAATTCAGTAAAACATCACAGATGTATATGCAAGACTATATGCAACATATACTGTGTATAGGGTGTTACTGATACTGATTGGTTATCCAAATATCGGCAACTAGAGTAGAATTCAAGCAAGTAACACTGAGACTGAAAGCTAGGTATCACAGCTCCACTGGGTTGATTAAAATTACACAGAAATACAATAGATATATAATTATAAAAACTAGGGAATCAAAAATAACATACTTGTAAATGATGCATTTCCACACCGAACGGTAGGCTAACACGTTGACATAAATCTTTAAAAGACCATTTTGATGAACCAACTGTTATTGTAAGTCGTCTTACTTTGATCAAAAACTCCATATGATCTAATAAAGCTTGAGGAGTTAGAATATCAACATAATTATCATTGTCAACATTGCTGTTATCATTAATATTATCTGAATGGATATAATTTGATGATTTAATATGCTCAGAAAATGTTTGACTGCTAGTATATGGTATAGTAGTTTGTAATATTGTCTCCATACTACCCATATATTCACGACTATTCAGGGATGAATCTGTTTCAGTTTTAGATTTGGACATAGTTGATGGTAAAGAAAATATATCAGTCTCTTTTTCGTCTATTTCATCTCTCTGAGAATGATATGTCATTCTAGACAATTTAGTATCTTTTGAAAAATAATACAAATCACCATATAATGTTTCAGTATGAACATTTTGTAATGCTTTAGTTAAATACTTCCACTCAGCAGTAAGACGATCACTTTCTGAAATAAAATACACGGAAGATATTATGTAATTTATTTCATGATAAATATCTAAGACCAATAAAAGTGAGTATCGAACTAAAGGAAAACTTAATAAACACATTAGATTGAATTCATATATTCACAAGTAATACATGATACAGTTCTGTATTTTAGATAAAGCACTTAAAATTATTATGCTGTGACACGCATATAACAATAAGCTTCATGAATAAAACCATTTAGTCCATGTCATTCATTTAGTTTGATTAAACAAGGTCAAATGAATAAAAAAATTCAAGTGTACTGGACGAAAACTTGGTGGGGAAGACTAATAAATTGTTTGTTGAGAAATCATAGTCGTTTAGCGAAATATGAAAATCATACATTAAATACATCATTTGCACATCTTTGCGTTGTCCTTTACATACTCTATAATTCTTCTAATTCCGTTGTTATTTCGATTGCTCTCTGATTTCCTTGCAGTTCACTTTACTTCTATCTTCTACTGGCAGTCGTTCTACTTTCGATTGCTGCAACATACTACTTATATCTGTCAGAATAAGTAGCATACACTATACAAGTACTTTTAGGGAGACATACAGTTCAGTGACTGGCTCAAAATTATACATTATAACCCATACCACCTACTCGTAGTTAAAAATTTTAGTACTAGCAAGATATGTTCAGAAATCTACATACTAGGATAGTATTTCATTCGGTTCAGTATTCTGTATTTATGAGAGAAATTCCAACCCTACAATACATATTATCCAAGCTCGAAATATACTAATCATGTACTATCACAAAACTTCAACTGTAATTTATCAGACCCACGCAGGGAGAAATACTAAGATAAATATTAATTGAACGAAATTAATTATAATAACGAATTTAAAAGAAAAAGTATAAGTCAATACGACTAACAATTTGTAAACTAAAAGTATTAAGACGTAAATTAAAAGAAGCGGAAACAAAATGAAATAATGTGCACAAACGACGCTTTGTTTGAAGGGGAAAACAATAATCCATCGATTGTATTCTGTTGCTTACACCTCAGTTACAAATATAAGATAATAAGTTAGTTAAACTTTACAAGGTCATAACTTATAAAATCTGAAGTATCATCAGTAGACAGTAAAATTGTTTCCAAGAAAACAATTCAGTGGAAATTTAATATTCACATCTTCGAAAGAGGGTTTATTTTCCTCATACGTAACCAGATTGACAGTTTTATGAGTATTATTATTCACACAATGTGACAAAAATCTTATCAAGAACATAGAAAAGGAGAAAAATGGGGCTAAGACTATTGAATTATTGTATAATGATTACATGAAAGATAGAAATCAAGTTATTGTGATTATTATTATTTTTACATACTACAATTAAAGAAATATATGAAACAAGATGAAATCATATTTCTATGACGTGTATGCTCATAAATATCGTAATAGTGTATTGAATTTAAGCAGAATATTACTTTGTATTTCATGGTTTATGATAAAGGTAAACCACGTTTCGCATCAATACATATGCACAATATCACATTAAATGAGTTTATTGGAATTACACTTAAGAAGAATCTTTGGTTTAGACTTGTTGACGCAAATAGCATCAAGCCAAAAATCTAAGTCTTCGCCGTATATATACATTTCTGTAACCTAATGAAGGATCAAACGTTAAATTCCATAATAATAATAATAATAATAATAATAATAATAATAATAATAAATAATAATAATGAAAGTGGTAGTAATACTATTACTAATAACAATAACGGTAATAATAAGTTATTCCAATCTTATGACAAACTAATAAATGGTGCCACCACCTATGGATTAAATAACTGTTAATCTTAGCATTAAAATTTCATACATTATTATTTGACATATATAGGTAGTTTTAAAGATCACTAAATCCGTCGCATGTAGAAATACGTGTGTAAGGTTTTGTATATATATATATATATATATATATATATATATATATATGTTGGCGCCAATTCTGTCCTCAGTGTTGTATAATTCTTATCTTGAAACAACAAAAAATTTAATAAGGCTAAAAAAGATTAAGAAATGTATATTTTGTGATACACTACACTGAATGGCGCCATGATTGTGAACCTAATCCATATGTGTGGTAGGTTTTGCTATTTGTATTGAAGCAACAAAAGAAAGAAATAACTCTGTATTTCTACAATTCATTTTAATAGTAGTTACTAGTAGTAACTTTAGAAGTGAATAAAAAAGTCCTTATTATAATATAATCACTAGAAGGAAATTAATCAGAAAATGCACACACACGTGTTAGTACGCTACTATAAATGAAGGCATCTTCTATCTTACTTAAGGCGTGACAATTTCAAAAATGCACAATCAGTAGAATGTTTGACAATCATCATCACTAAGCCTATTTTAATGGATAGTAGCAGCTAAATCAAAGGATAAGGGCATTATTTTTGTTTTGGGAGTGGGAAAGAAAAGATTTTTAGTTTCTCTCGTTGTTTCAAAAACAGAATTGATCCAGCGTGAGAATTTTTAATATATGAAAATGTTATCATACACCAATTAGTAAAATTTGCGCTTTAATGCATGGTACAAAAAACAGTAGATATGAACAGTATTCCAATATATCAAACTATTATATTCTTATTTGATATGTGCAACTTAGCCCTCGAAACACGGTTTAAATGGCCAGATAGAAACTGAGATGAATTTATGTACGTCAGTTGATTGATAAGAAACACATATCAAGACAACCACGTTACAGATTTGACGTAATAACGATAAAAAAATTCACTTCAACGTAAGCCTACGTTAAAATTGTCGCAGAACACGGATTGTTAACATACGATCTAGTATGAAAGCATCAGATACTTAGTTTTGAGATAATTAATCTTGCAGCGCATGACTTTTTGTGCACATCAAATGCCCTGGTACGGCCGAGAGTGAGGAGAGTCCGCTCGCCCTCTTCAAATGCTCTCGCATGGCCATGCATATATAGCCTCTGCCAGGGAAGTTCTGCTCATTGCCTTCTCGTGGCATTACTGTTGTTTACGAAATTGAGAGGACGAAAAGCGAATGTCCGGGTTGGTGGACATGGAGAGTCCACCTAGGGGAGTTGGAAAACCCTCATTCCAAACTTGTGGTGCACATGGGCTCCAGTATCCTAAAGGAACAAATAGCGTATGAACCAATAATTGGTCACCGGCTACCATAGGACTGCATCTCCTTACGTTGTTCCACTGCCTTGTGGATCAGACCTGTAGGTCGAAGGCTCCGGGTGTGGCCCCCTGAGCAAACCACCTGCTTCGGTCTGGGCACCCGGGCAGTATCACAGCCCTCAAACATATCTAATGAGATTTGTGTCGTGCATATGTATTTGGTGCCTCCTTGTGCCAATATCTATGTGTTAAAATAAATAATAAACGACGTGTTATGAGCGGGATTGTATGGAAGTGATAATGAATATATTATACAGTCGTGAGAATAGGTCAGTTGCTCTATTTTTATACAAATGTTACTAACTATGAGAGCTCCACGACCAAACCATCCAGCTCAGAGAACAAAACTCCATCAAAAGTTAATAATCCTCATTTAATTATATTCATCCAAAAATTCGCATTTACAACGTAACATTGTGCATTTTTGTTTTACTAACGTAACTTTGAAACATGTACATATGATAACTTTGAATCCTCTCATTACGATCTCCCATTATATTTTTCCCACTTTCAATGTGTTTTTTAAGCTCTCCACTATCGTTATTAATTTCTTCGTTTTGATTTCTCTTACAATAGTTATTCAAACATGGCAACTTGAAGTAACATTATACCGAACTCCAAATTACGTCTGCCAATCTTTATGTATTTCGGTAAATTTATTAGTATCCAACTTCTCTTCAGGTTCTTTTGAAATTTGGCTTATCCGGAAAGCCATCGAACAGCTTGAATCAAACTACATACTTTCGATTAGTAAAAATATCCATCGTTAGAAAACAACTTGCAATAACACAAACGTTTCTGTACTACACTATAAATTAAAAATAGTTTTATGCAGGTTGGCAAATTTCTTGAGATAGGGGACTGAACTAGTGATCAATTAATTCAAAGTCAAGTAACCGGAAGACTGTGTCATGGCGTAGCAGAGTGGTGGTAATTTTATACGACTAACCAGCCAAACTAAGGTCATGTATACTGCAAAGGGGATATGTATAATATATATCATCTCGAATAAACACGAATCCGAACATTACGACATAAAATCTTTCAGACTAGTAACGGCAAAGTAAAAAGTGACTAAGCAATTTAGCACATCAATTTCGATCACATATGGAAAATGTAAAAACTTTACACTAAACACACATCATATACATATGTATAAAAAGAATATTTATCAAGGTAACAGATGACTAAGTCTACCATTAGAACAGTATAAACACAGTAAGGAGGCCACACGCAATTTTAGCTAGCCTTCTGACCTTGAGGAACAGCTTGCAAACATATATATATCCATACCAGCATACATACAATATAAGGCTAATAATACACCCACTAGTTTTGTGTAAATGTGAAGGGTAGATCTACAATGGATGGTCATTCAGAGCTTAGTTACATGTTGGGTGGTCGAGTGAAACTTAAACCTAGGGTGCGTACAAATCTATCCAGAACAACAAAAAAAACGTAGTCAATCAACAATTTTACGAATTCAAGAGATTAGAGCTATTTGTTAAAACAAATTAATATATGTAACAGTAGGAAAGTGTACAACAATTTTTCACGGACAAGGAAACAAAAATCTAGTAATGAAAACAGTCACGTCCATTTTTAAAAAATATTGATTAGTATAAGTAGGTGATAAAATATAGGCACAGGTTTTGCACACATAAAACAAATGAATTACTTTTCAGACACTATGGAAATAAATTAAATCCATTTATATAAAAATTATGAAGGAAACTAAGCATCTGAAACAGGAATGTTTTTTTGCATTTGATATGAATAGCACTAACAGTAGGTG